CATTTCAGTAGACTCATTCAGTCAGACTGTATTTGGATGGAATAATAATAAAGACTTCCAAACTTGTTAACCAAACTTTAAGCAGTTAGTATTAAAACCTTTGATTAAAAACATAGCTAGAGCTAATACCCGCTCAGTACTCCAAGGACGAGGTTGAGGATGAAGAAGGAGCCCACAAGTATCAGAGTCAGGAAGTAGATCCAGGGCCAGTCATTCCCCATGGCATCGTTAATCTAAAAGATAAAATCATCACTAGATTTGACAAACATTACATTTGGATTTGTTCTAAAAATCCTGTCATTGACAAACGGTCAGTCTGTGCATTATTCGTGGGGATTTTTCTCTTTCTGCAGTTTACATCTTTGCACTAGTAGGTGGCGAAAAGTGTCTTTGTTATGAATGAGTCATCGAACCAAATTAGTTCAAACACACTGACTCGTTCAGGAATACAACACAATTTCTGTGTCTTTCTTGGAGACAAAAAAAAGGTCTAGAGACGCCATTCAAAATAAAATTATCATCTTTTAACTTGAGCGCTGATTTCTTGAATGCTATGTCATGCGAGAGATGCTGCAAAATATGCAAGGTCATACACGGTTGTCCAGCAGGTTTATAAAGAAAAATTATTAAAAAGCAGTGCAACGCAAGACGCATCGTCAAAGATCGGGAAAAACAGGGTCTCCAGTTAATTCTGCTTTGACATCATTTGGAATAATTTTGTTGATCGAAGCAAAAACAGACAAAACAACTGGAAATTTTGTGTCTAAAATGTAAGTAACTCACTATTAATTTTTATTTTTTGTCTATTGAACTGTTGCTGTTGGTCTGAATGTCACCATAATTTAATTGTATTATATATAGCCTATACTGATTGTTAAATTTATATTGTCCCATCAGTAATTTTTTAACTTTAGCATAGAGAAGTGCCTGTTAATATAAATGAATGTTTGTCTACTGGCCTCTCCATAAGAGAGTAAAGAGGAGGATTATCAAGCACATAAGTAATTACCCAATAGAGAACATCAGTCCAGCTCTCCATTGTGATACACTGAAAGACTGTGAGCATGGCAAAGCCAAAGTTGTCAAAATGGGTGATGCCAAAGTTGGGACCAGGCCAACCTGCCCGACATTCAGTGCCATTGATGGTGCAGCGGCGCCCGTGTCCAGCCTGAGCACAGGGCGATGGCTTCTCATTCTCCCTGATGGCAATGATATCTGAAACAGAGGTTGAACAGTACTGGCATTGATTTGTCAATTTGCTATCATTAAACATTCCCTTTATATGTTTGAAGATATCAAAACACTCACTAGTGCCCTGGTAGTAACATGTCTTGTGCATTTTACACTTAAACAGCTCCAAACCCATAATGGCATAAATGGTGACCATGAAGAAGACCAGCAATGCAATGTGGAAGAGGGGCAACATGGACTTCAGAATAGAGCTCATTACCACCTGGAGGCCTGGATGACAACAAATACACTTTTAACACACCAGCTTTTTTAACATTCGACAAAGACATGATTATATTGTAATCTTACAAGAAAGTTAACAAAGCATGTTCATAAACACATTTGTGTACATATTTAAACTGTATTCACTCAGCACTGGCTCGTTCTGTGATATCGAGCATATTGTAGGCGTATACTTATAGTAATTATGATATTATCTTCAGAGTATATTTAGGATCTAGCTTTAAAGGTCTATGTTGCCCTACTTGTGGTGCTTAAAAGTCTTACTGGGAACTCCTGATACGAGCCGCAGTGGTCGCAAGACTCGAAATGCTCTAAGAGCCTTCATATCAAACCCTCCTCCTTTCTCTTTGGGAACTCCTGTTAATGTGTCGATGGTGTCCACGACAAGTGTGAAGAGCCTGCAGAGGCAATTTAAAAGGACTATTATTTAAGAAATGTTAAACAATACATTTTTAAATGTCAGCTATTATTGTATTATTAATACCTCAAACTCTACAGGAAAAAAAATCTATGGTTAAAATGAGTTCAGGACAATTTTGGAAAACATTTCAGGGGACAGACAATTGTGTTTCATTTATGGCTTCTGGACATTCTAAATGTCATCTTACCCCATGAACACAATGACAAAGTCTAATATGTTCCAACAATTTCGTAAATAGGCTCCTTCATGGAACAAAAGCCCGTATGCTACTATCTTTAGGAAGCACTCCAGAGTGAAAATGACCAGGAAGATGTACTCCAGACTCTCCTGCAATGAAACAAACAATATAGGAGAGATTAATGGGGTGTAAAACATGATACAGTCACAATTCTGACTGTCACAATTTTTTCCCCACAATTGTGAGAACTGCAAGATACAAACTCAAGAGTTAAAAAAAAACATATATTAATTTATTTAAATTCAGACCCATAGCTGCATATTAAGCTGGGTTGGGAGAAAGTGGAAAGAGTGTGTGACCTACATACCATCAAAGCTTGAGTCATGAAATAAGCTTGTGTAAAGAGGATTTATCATTACTTGAAGTGTTTATATGCAGTAGATGAAACAAAAAATGTTAGGCATAGGAAAAGAGCAGAACAGCAGTGTCCACATGGGGTAAATTATCTCATCATTGTGCAATAAGTGGACCCTCAATGTGGGACAGAACAGTCATATCAATAGAATCTATGTTAATGTCTCATTAGATGCATCATGAAAATCCCCTTCTGAGATTTGAGTGTATTTATAAACGCCTCACTTGTACCTTTTGGACATGCACATCTCAAATCAAAGACTAAATATAAAACTCATCACACAAAACCACCTGCTAGCATGGTATATTTTTAGTTTGTAAAACATGTTCTAAATTGCATTCTAGGTATATAAACCCATAATTCTATCTAACTTGAACTCTTAAGAGCTTATGCAAATCACAAATTTGTCCTGTTCAACCGCCAACTGGGCGAGAACGTTAGCGCACATGTATCAGCTTCAAAACATCTACGTCCCCCTTATAACCCAAGGGCCAAAGACCCGAGTAGGCAAAAATCTGAACAACACTTTATCTTGGACATGTTTAAGCATCTCAGATTCTCTGGCAACACACCATGAGGTGTGTGTCAAGACATAACTATCCCTTTACTCCAGTTCACCTGTGCCATAATATTCTTTGCTACCCTCAGTAGCAAATATTTTCAAAATTAGCTGATGTAACGTTACTACTTCAAATTACCTGTAATCAGAGATTATTCATTTAACATATATGTTCTCCTATGGTAATTGTAGTTTAAGAACTTCTCACCAATGTTAAGTTGGTGTTGTTGGTGTCCTCTTCAGGCATGGGCAGAAACACAGCCAGAGCTACACAGTTAGCGAAGATAGTTAGCAGGATAATGATTTCAAAGGGTCTGATGGAGTCTGCTCAGGAAAACAATGAGTAGACATGGCAAAAACAACCACTGGAAAATGGAGGTAATCATTTTTCACATTCAAGTTGGGGGTGGATATGAGTACGGATTGCATCAATCTGATTTAACCAAAAATTAACCGGAGCTAAATACATGTAAAACTGGCTTTGGTGATTAAATAAAAGAGAGAGACTTCGGGTAGTTATTTGGTCAGTAGCTAAATTAGAATCACTGACACACAAACCATCTAGTAAAGGTGGTTTTACCTCAGAGTAAACATTTACTAGGACAGAATATATAAAAAATATATTATTGCATGTCCAATGAGAAATATTATAATCATCAATTAGTGCAGCTTCAGTTTAAACTACATGACTCACAGTCTCCAACGAACTGTAATTATTTGTGAATTTCTGCCACTAGGGGGTGGAATCAGAATTTCCCTGCCAGCTCAGAATCATGTCCACTAGTGATCCCACGCAACAGCTGTACACAACCAGAATATCATTAAACTGTATAAATACACCTATGCAAAAAAAGAGCTAAAAAATTACATCTCCTATTCACCCCAGTACAAAAGCTAAAACACTTCTACTTGAAAATCTTCTATTCACATTTATATTTATATGTGTCTTGCTTAATGAACTAATCAGGAACTGAAAGTTTCACTTTGTAAAGCAAATGTTTGCTGTATATGTCAGTTTTGTCTCCAAGGGTGGTCTCAAAGAGGAAGTTAAGAAGCCGTTTCCAACTTTTTCTGAAAGGCAACACAGTCAATTTTTGTTCTTGTTGTGAATTTAGGAACTTGTATTTATGAAAAATTCTTAAAAATATCGTTAAGTGTCTTGACATATACAAACGTTCCAATCTAAACCATATGAAACAAAAACAATAAAAACTGTAAATAGGGTCGATTAACACTAGTTTAAAGTCTTATTAATAGTGTATTTTCTGACTGGCTGTAAATAGGCTGGGGTTCATCCTTATCATCTTCCATGTAAAGACCTGATCCAACTGCTTCCAAATGACCGTGGTGAGGCTGACACATAACAAAAGCTTAACACCTTCAGTTCACAACTGATACACAGATTTCAGCACCTTAAGACACACTAAACCTGGGGATTATGAAAAACAACTGTCTGTTTTTATTTTCTCCACTTCACAGATGAAGATATCAATAATGGAGCAAATATCTCAGTCTGGTTTTGTTGAACATAAGACGCTGAGTAAGACAGATCAGAGTTATGGTTGCATGCTTTTTCTGGCATGCATGCTAAACCAGCTCTCTGGGGGGTGGATGCCTTTCTAAAACACACCCATCTCAATTATGATTCAAAACTATACAAACATCAAACCACAGTCCAAAAGGATGGAAACTAAAATGGATGTAAGTTTGAAGGATACTTCCATTCCACAATGTTGATGCAGGTCTTCCGGAAAGGGTTTTTGAGCGTGAAGAAGAACAAGGAACGTGGCGGTCGAGGGTTTCCTCCTGTGGCCTGTAGTTTCTTGAGTTTCTCCCTTTGCTTTCTCTTCAGTTCTTCTTCATTCATGATGAACGAGGCCAAAGCTGCCACCCCACCACCACCACCGCCCGACTCCATTTTGAATCTCCCAAAAGTAAAGTCTTCTCAATTCCCCACAAAAAATTGCCAAAACCTGAAATGAGATTCCTAGTTTAGCAAATCCTTGGTCTTCTTAAGTCCAGGTCAGATCTTTAGTATGGTCCTAAGCTTCATCCAACATCTCGCCCTCTCTGAGAAGGCACAGTGTACCTTCTTGGCCCTGGCCCCTGCTGCAAACCTACACCAGACAAGCAGACATTGGAGGGGAAGGGAGCATTTAGGCACAGCTGGCCCCTTCTGAGGGATATATATAGACGGGCAGTCAGTGTACATTCTTGGGGGTGCGGAGGCAGGTGGAGGAGGGGATGGGCGGCCTTGGGGTGCAGCAGATGAAGAAAGAGAATGACTAAGGTTCTGTAAGAGAAATTCAGCTTATACAACACCACAGATAAGACATTAAAAAGGAGAAAACATTAAGAATAGGACACATAAAATGGTATTGAAATATGCCAGGCTTTTTTCCTAGTTGATTTACTGCACAAAACAGCAGATGAGCGTTACCCATAGTGAATTTTCTCAAGAAAAAAGCTGTACAAAGAAAGTTGGCAACATTCTTTATATATTTAACATTTTAGTGCATTTTCACATAAGCAAGAATATTTCAGCTGTAAAACAGCTGCAAGTTGTTTTGATACATACTGGAAAATTATTATAGCAGCAAATACGATAGTCAAGCAAAGTCCTTCAAATTCCTTCACATTTTGAGGTGCAAAATCAATATTTCTGGATGTCTGTAAATCAGAAAATCCAACAAAAGTGTCAAGCATATTAGAGGAATCTTATGATATACTATTCAACAGTGCTGATCACTTAACGCCACTTATTCCTTCACTATTATGAATTTATACATTTATTTATAATTATTCACTATAATCTGACATTTAAAACATATGCTTGTGACATGTGCCATCCTGAATAGTATTATCAGCTTGCAAACAAATAAACTAGGAATCATTCAATACATTTTTTGGTAATTCAAAGTGAAACTACAACAGTGCAATGACATTTTACACATTTATAAGCGCATCTATATTATATATACCTGTCCACATCAGTACTCCCAGATCACACGGTACACTTCCATGTAATCTCATCCTTTGCAATGCTATTTCAAAGCAAAATAGTGACAGGACCGATATATTCAAGTTATTGTGTGAGAAATGTAAAGGTGACCGTGGGTGTGAGACCAACTGGAGCTGGCTTATTCTCTTAATTTATATCTATGTAAACAGCAAGCAACTAAACAAGTTGCTTTATTAGGGTGACCATACGTGCCATTTTCCCAGGACGCGTCCTGGCCAGGATTTCTATATTGCCTAAAATATCTAGGTTTTGGCTTTGTTTGCGTGTGCAGACCAATCGGTGTATGACATCAAAGTACCATACAGACGGTTATGCTTTCGAAACGCTCTCGAGGTACTTTAATGTGAAACACTGATCGGTTTGAGCCGCACTGCTTTTAAGTCGAACACACCTAATATGTACGCGTAATTGCATCGCTTTGACCGTAGATCCCACCTTCTCACACGCCATGATTGGTCCATTATGTACAATGCTTGCATGTTATTGGTCAAACTACTTTTCGATCATTACCTTCAGCAAGCATGAAAACAGGAAAACAAAGCCAAAACAAATCCTGGCCAGGACGCGTCCTGGGAAAATGGCACGTATGGTCACCCTAGCTTTATGTTTTCACAGTTTCAGTTTGAAAGCTGGAATCAACCAAGTCAGTCTTGGTTAGATTATAATACTAATGATAATGCAGGCCCACTGATAAAACATATTGTCATAAAAGCTGAAACTATAAGGCCACCATGCATGTGGTCTCAGCCAGTGGTGCCTGTTAGACTTGTTCCCAGCTGGAGTCCATCTGAGGGCTTAGCTGAGCAGCTTGTGGCGGTCAAACACAGTCTTGCGCTGCTCCTGGACCTGTTTCTTCCAGCGCTGCTGAGCCCCCTCTACCCTCTCCAGCACAGTGTTCCCACGACCTTGTGAACCATCCACACGGGGCCTCACATCCTGTAGGGAGAGACAAAGGACAAAACTAATACCTAAACCCAACAAAAATATTCCTTAACTTAAGCAAATGATCTACAAAAGTGATTTAAAAAATATGATTCTTTGTCCCAAGTCTGCTATCAGACACGTTCACAAGTCTAAGAAAAAAAATTCTACCCTTTCAGTAATATAAGACAATAATAAGAAATGTTTCTTGAGCAGCAAATCAGAATGTCATGATTTCTGAAGGATCATGTGACACTGAAAATTCAGCTTTGCCATCACAGGAATATATTACATTTTAAAATATATGGAAATAGAAAACAGTGATTTTAAATTATAATAATACTTCATAATATTACTGTTTTTACTTTATTTTTGATCAAATACATGTAGCCTTGGCGAACATACTTGTTTCAAAAAACCTTAATTTTTATTATTCCAATCTTTCTCTATATATAAATGTATTATTTCTTGAACATTAAGTCATAAACAGTAGTATTAAAGTATGTTATGTTTTACTTGAATGAAAAGATTTTAAACTTAATACCATTTACTTAATAATTAATAAAATACCAATTTTACAAGTTGTCAAGTGAGGGACCATTTAACACAAAAAATGAATAACTTACTTTTTTTGTTATGTATATTTTTTGGTGTGTTTTTTTTCTTCAATTTTTCATGATAGAACAGTGGAGATATGACAGGAAGCAAGTGGGAGAGAGAGAGGGGGATGGGATCGGGAATGGTCAACAAGATGGGATTTGAACTAGGGACCGAAGCGCAACTGTGGCATATGTCGACACGCTGTCCACAAGGCTATCGGCGCCAACATGTATACGCATTTAATAGAAAATGCATCTTCATTTTTGTGGGTGTGAGAACGAGAAAATATTTTCTCTTATTAGACCCAAAGACTTGTTTTGCTCAAAAATCTCTCATTTAAGTCCAAGTCAAGTCAATGCAAATTCTATGCTGAGTCAAAGTCTATGCTGTTTCCATCTCTGTAAAATACAAACCCCAATGTGCACAAACCTCAGAATCCTCCTCGTTCTGCAGTGGCATGGTGTACGGATCACGTTTGCGGATTAGAGGATCAACTAGAAGTAGAAACAGCATGTACAGCAGAAGAGCTCCAACCACTGACAAGTAGATTATAATGGTCACCTGGGAAATACATAAAAAATATGAATACTCCTCAATTTAGCTTAAAGTGGACAACTAGATTATGAAGGCATAAAAGCAGATTATAATAAACATTTTTAATTCAAAGTAGGATTTACTGATTTCTGGAAGTCACACAATACCTTAATGGTGTTGCTGCTTCGTTCTTCATACTTGCACTCACAGAGCAGACAGTAGGCCTCCACATCATGGCCAGGCACTGGCATGGGCTCCACCACATGCAGACAGTTGCTACAACCCAATACATTACAATAAATTCTGAGACAGCTGAAAATAGTGTAAGAATTTATTGATCTATATATAATAACCTCTACAGACAACACAGGCCTGTTTGGACAGTTCTTTGTCAATACAGTAGTCTGTCTCACCAGTCTTTCTGGGACACATTCTTTTTGTAGATATGTCCACTGATGTTTCTGTAGGGTGGACAGATGCACTTGCAACGCACATCTTCATAACTCTGTGTAGGCAACATTTTAAGAAAGTTACATTTATAGGACATCTTTTTACATAAGTGGGACACATTTGGTAAAATTCGGAGAGCATAGATGTAATGGATGTGTCAGGGAGAAACTGTACCTTATCTGCATATGCGAGTGAAATCACATCTATAAGAACAAGAAACACCAGAAGAACAGCTGCTATCCGGAGATTTTGAGCAATGCTGGACGACATGATGCCTGCACATAAACATCATTAAATTCAACATAAGGGAAGGTCATAATTGAATTGAAATGGGTCAACCGGTACTTTTTGATTAAAAAAATAAAAGCAAATTAAAGCAAACAAGACTAGTCATCGGTTAAAATGCTTATTCGTGTAGGACCTAAACAAAACGTTCAAAATCAATTCTGTGTACTCAGTGGCTTATGCAGTAACGTTAGTTACGTTATATGAAGCTGACAAACACCGGTCTCTCAGTCCCGCAGTTTAAGACTTTTCTCCTCTCTGTTGTGCATTTTGAGAGAGAGAGAGAAAATAAATCTGAAAAGTCAAATGTTTAAGCTAAATGTTACATGCAAATGTTAAATTAAATGCATATACGCACCTATAATATTTATAAACGCCCATCAAACATATGTTGACTTTCTCCGGAAGTTCTAGATGATGGATAAACTCTAGCCCCGCCTTCACAAACGCTGAAAGGCAAATTAAAAGCGTTTTTTTTTTTTTTTTAATAGAATAACACAATTTATAATCTGTAATGCCCCCCGATTCCTATTATAAAAATAAAGCCTCGGGTATAAAAGTAATAACATATCGACTTTCAGTTCCGACTACATACAAATAAGTCTCTTCAGATTTTGTAAACTATCACAAAGGAAATAAATGAGCAAAAGGGGAGCTAAAATAACTGAGAATGCATGTAACATATGTTAAGTCCAGGTATAAAGAGTTTTTAAAAAAGCATGAATATGATTTCCTCCTAAATCTTTCATACGTTTTGTTCAAGCTTCACATAAACAGTTGGCGATTTAAATACTCTGTCTCTATTGGTTGACCAAACCGTCACTCAGACTGTGCCACGTCCAATCAGCTAGCGGCCTTTCAATCCTATAATTTTGGCGGCGGTCGGAAGATGGCGGAAAATTTGAACGGTAAGAATATATCGTGTTAATAGTTCAGAAACAACGGTTTACACGCTATATGTCTGATGTATTACACGAGTTGTTAGTTAAGTGACGTCTTATCAAAGATCCCCCGGAATCAAACACTTCGTTTTGGAAGAATCTTTGCTGGAAGTTGTTGATACAAATTCACATTAGGTCGATGTTATGGCTACCGCGCGCTCATGCAATACATTCAAACAAGCTCATTGTGAACTCATCTGTTTCTCTTGCATCAACTTCTTTGTAAAGCTGTACAGCGTAACATACGGTGCAAAGATGTGCACACTCTGTTAGTTAGAGTAATATTCAGTGTTTAGCTTTTAGCGTAACTCTTACATTCTCTTGAGGAATATGATTTACTCAACATGTTTGATCACTGGAAACTTTATCATAAAGCACATGCTTAAAATTCTCCCGCAAAATGTTAATCTAATGCCTACGTCGTTGATTACTTACTTCGTTTAGGTTCACTGAATCTCTTGTCCATTTGGCTTATGACGATTAGTCTTTAGACAATTTATTAAATGGCCCATAGGTTAGTGATAATACATGGGAGTTTTTCTGTAAGGGTATTTATCTCAAACTGCCAAAATTATCAAGTTATCTGTACAATATGTTAATGATTTTTTTTAGTGTGTTACTCTGTGCTGTTGCATTTCGTTCAAGCTTTTTAGTGCCAAAGACCCCCCAACTATGATGATCCCCTTGTCAGCTAGCCCCTTCCTACAATATAAAAGCAGTTATATATTTTCATATATATATATATATATATATATTCGTTTATTCTTTGTATATACAGTTGTTTCTTTGATATAATAATATCAGCTAATTGTTAATTTCCTAAATTAAACGATTTGCTTTTGTTTGTCACTGTAATTTTATGTCTTAAAATTTATGTTAAACTATTATCTGGAAAATATTTCCAAGATAGCAACATATATTTTTAAAGTCTATATTAGAATATAGAATTGTCAATTTAATTGACAGTTATTTGAATAGCACTTTCCATGGTAAATATAATTCCAAAACTGTACAGCTAGTTAGAAAAAGCAGACAGTGGTCAATTCCTAGACAGAGGCAACGCAAATTCAAAATAATCTCGAATGTTAGAAAGTTTGAGGTCTGTAATTTTTGTCGTTTTGGAAATTTCTTATGCTCACCAAGGCTGCATTTATTTGATCAGAAATACAGTAAAAATGGTAATATTGTGAAATATTAGTATAATTTTAAATAACGGTTTTCTGTTTTAGTATATTTTAATATGTAAGTAATAACATATAACAAAGTAATATAACTATTAGCTTTATTCCCTGAGTTAAAAAACGTAATAATAATATAATAATAATAGCTCTCAAATTCTCTGCAAACCTCTGGTTTATAGGCATGAGGACATCAAGTTACCTGTTTGCTGAAGAGCTGTGCAGTTCTTGATCTAAAGCTTGCACACATGTCTGTCATCCCACGTTTTGCCTGTGTTTTTCCAGAAATTAACATCTAATTGTATTTTGTAGCTGAAGTTTGTAGGGTAGCATGCATCGCTACTGTAGACCAGCTGGAGGTGATCTGTCGAGAGCAGGGGGTGAAGTGCGAAGAGCTGGGCATCAGCAAGCACAACCTGTGTGACTATGAGGTGGAATATCTCTGCGACTACAAAAAGAAAGTCATCAACGATGGGAATACACAAATAGTACAGGTGAGCTTAAAAGTCTGGCTCGTAAATGTACTCATGTCAAAGTAAATTCTACTACATGATGGGTAAAATGAGTTTTATCAAAGCTAAACTTAAGTGGTGGCCAGTCACATAAACTGCTTAGATTAGTCTTACAAGTTAGTCCATATCTAGTTTTTTTTAAGGAATCTTGCATCCAAAAATGAAAATTTGCTGACAATTTACTCACCCTTAGATGTGGAGAAATTTAGCATCACTTGCTCACCAGTGGATCCTCAGCAGTGGATGGGTGCTGTCAGAATGAGCGTTCAAACAGCTGATAAAAACATCACAATAATCCAACCGGTCTCCAGGCCATCAGTTGACGTCATTAGAAAGGAAAAGTTGTGTGTTTGTAATAAACAGATTTATCATTAAGACACTTTACTATAACTGTTGTGTCCTACTAAAATTCCTCTGTCCAAAATGTTGCTTTCCTTAGTGAAAAAGTAATCTTGTCTGAATCGGGAGATAAATATGTACAGATCAAGCACCATATACAAGCCAAAACAGGGGCTGTACCATGAAGCTGGATTAGCTGGCTAGCCAGGTAAGTTTCAGTTATTTATTTTAAATGAATGTTAATATATACAGATCGTAATGTAATATAAATAAGCTGTAGAATCAATAGATAATGCTTTAAAAATGACTACGTGACCTTACATGTTCGAGTCTCTATCGCTGTATATAACAATTTTCACTTGTGATTGCACTGATAATTTCAAAAATTATCTTGCTTCTCTAAGCCACAGTGACTGGGTGCCACCAATACATAACATATCATATATATATATTTAAAAAATCTGATCCGTACAGGAAGTAAACATAGTGCTTCTCACCTCCCCGACGTACTTTATCATTTCTTTTATTTATCCTCTTTCATGTACAAGTACTTTTTTCATTGTAAATGCATTTAAATTCATCATATTCTTCAGTCTCTTAAATTTTAGCAAAACGTTTAACCTTTAACCAAGGCTCATGATTGGCTCAAACTCAGGATCAAAGCTTGAGTTGACAAAGAAAGTTGATGATCAGCATCATGGTACCAACAAAGCCGGTTTGGTTTTGTCAATTCGAAACTAATCCTGTAACTCTGAATTTGCTCATCTACCATCATGGTACAGGCTCCAGGTCTAAAAATATATGTCAGTAAATTCTGGATTCTGGATTGATATTCTGGCCAGAAGGGACAGTTTAAAGTTGTTTCTTGCAAACACTCAGCTTTTCACCTCACAAGATGTTAAGTGATGGACTGGAGTCGTGTGGATTATTACGATGCTTTTATCATCTGATTGAACTCTCATTCTGACGGCACCCATTCACTGCAGAGGATCCGTTGGTCAAGTGGTGTAATGCTAAAATTCTCCAAATCTGTTCTGATGTAAAAAAAAAAAAACTCTTCTTCATCTAGAATGACATGAGTAAATTGTCAACAACTTTTAATTTTTGGATTAACTGTTTCTTCAAGTCTAGTCATAACTATATACATCTCAATATATAGTTCATTAATCAAGGCAATATATTTGTTTAATAATGTATATAGTGTTGTGCACAGTATGATATTGTCATAATGTCATTATTTTTTTTAATTAACCTAAAAGTCTTTCATATTTTAATTTTTCTATAGTATACATGTTTAAGTGTACCTTGTTCACTCTAAATTTTGTTGTATCATGTACAATGACAATAAAGCACCTTGTATTAACTTTTCATGTACATTAAAACGTTTGGTTTAATTTGAGCCCAAAAAATTAAACTGATTGACCACTTGACGAACCGCTACTTGGTCAGACTAGCTCAGTCTTAATAGTGGCTATGTTTATGCTACTGGCCCCAGGTTTAAATGTGTTTAAGCTCACATCCCTGTTACCCCCTTCATAGGAGTTATACTTGGTGAAATGGAAGGGCTACCCCGAATCCAGCAACACATGGGAACCACGGAAGAACCTGAAGTGCGTAGATCTTCTCAACCAGTTCTGGGAGGACCTGAATGCAGAGATGCAGAGACAGAAGAAGCGTGCTGCCCCTCGTCGCCTAGACCCCGCCACCGTGTCCCAGCTCATCCAGCGGGCCAAACTTCGACAGACCCTTAAACAGTGGGAGACACACCTCAACAGCCTGGGTACCCACAAGGGCCACATCTACGTCCGGAACCAGGTCGACCTGGAAGGCCCGCCTAAGAACTTCACCTACATAAACGACTATAAAGTGGGTGATGGGATCTTGCTGAATGAGGTATCCGTGGGCTGCGAATGCACAGACTGCCTGGAAAACCCTGTGGAGGGATGCTGTGCCGGAGCATCGCAGCACAAGTTTGCTTACAATGAGTTAGGCCAGGTCCGCATTCGGCCCGGGTTGCCCATTTACGAATGCAACAAGCGCTGCCGTTGCGGGATCGACTGCCCCAACAGAGTGGTGCAGAGGGGAATTCAGTATTCCCTCTGCATTTTTAGGACAGACAATGGAAGGGGATGGGGGGTAAAGACCACGGAGCGCATTCGGAAGAACACTTTCGTTATGGAGTACGTCGGGGAGGTGAGAAGCACTATATGTTTACTTCCTGTACGGATCAGATTTTTTAAATATATATATATGATATGTTATGTATTGGTGGCACCCAGTCACTGTGGCTTAGAGAAGTTGTTCATTTTTTCACGTTCAGTGTTCCGTTGTGTCAGTTTAAGGTTTTTGTGTTTCATTGAAATATGTTTTGCTTCACTGGTAGATAATGGCATTATCAATCAACTTTTCAGTTTCCTTGTGATGGCTGATTGGCTGTTTATCTGTCTTTCCCAGAAGTGAGTCTGGCTTTATGATCGTTAAACCCTATTTTTTATCTCTTTTGTTTAGATCATTACAACAGAAGAAGCTGAACGCAGAGGTCACATATATGATAAAGAAGGCGCCACCTATCTTTTTGATCTGGATTACGTTGACGACGAGTACACCGTGGATGCTGCTCACTCTGGAAACATCTCTCACTTTGTCAATCACAGTGTGAGTGGACTTGAGATCCTTGCATCATCTTGTAAACAACTGACTTGATGGCAGTTAAACTGTAGCTTTTTATCTGAGGGAAGGAAATTGAATATCACAAAAGTTTTCTTTTTTCTCCTCAGTGTGACCCCAACCTCCAGGTATATAATGTGTTCATTGATAACCTGGATGAGCGGCTGCCGCGGATAGCGTTCTTTGCCACACGTGGGATAAAGGCAGGAGAGGAACTCACATTTGACTACAACATGAAAAGTAAGTGTGGGACCTTATAGAAAAAGAGTGTGTACAACATGACAAGTCATTTGGGGTCATTTACCATTTAATTATTTAGATCAATTGATTCATACACTACCGTTCAAAAGTTTGGGATGAGTATCTGTTTTTTTGAAAGAAATTGATACTTGTATTCAGGAAGAATGCATTAAATTGATTGACAATAGAGACATTTGTAATATAACAAAAGGTTTCTACTTTAAAAAAAAAATAGAATCTGTTTCTTGAGCACCAAATAAGCAAATTAGATTGATTCCTGAAGGATCATGTGACACTAAAGACTGGACTGCTGAAATTAAGCTTTGCCATCACATGAATAAATTACATTTACTTTTTTAACTGTATTTTTTGTTTAATGTTCCATTGAACTGAGTGTCATTCACTAAATTATATATTTTTCAATATAAATACAGTATTTTTCATTTTTTTGAAGTAGAAAATTGTTGTTTTTTTTCTCTCTCATTTTTTCCATAGTTGATCCAGTAGATGCAGAGAGCACGAAGATGGATTCTAATTTCAGTCTGACGGGACTCCCAGGCTCTCCTAAAAAGCGCATGCGCGTAGAGTGCAAATGCGGGGTACCGACATGTCGAAAGTACCTCTTTTAGAGGAAGTCCATGCTAAATAGGGACTGAAAGAAGATCATGTGTTCCAGTGAATGTTGAAAGCATCTGCAGTTTAGAAACTGTTTTGGGATGTGTTTTGAAATACTTCATTGATTTTTAAATATATATTTAAGAATTTGTTTTTATTTCCCCAAGATCAACCTCAACTTTTTCCGTAGTATTGTTGTCTTCCGTGTTTAAATAGTGTATAAAATGTAGCAATACTTTTTCAATTTGTCCGTTAGATAAGTTTGTAAAGTAAAAAAAATATTTTCAGTAATAGTTTTAAACCCATATTTTAATTCATATCAAGCTTTGACTCCATGGAATTCTTAAAGAAAAAGATTTTACTCCTTTTTTTTTTTTTTTTTCTTTTTTTTTGAACATTGAAATGTTCATATGCTTTATCTGTTTGAATAGAAGGGATTCTCTTTTTACTTTTTCCAACAAACTTTTGTAGTCTTACTTCTTGCCCTATTTTTAGGAAATATCTTTAGGCCAGTGCAAAATATCAAAAATCTATAATGTCCTTCCTTCTATTTTTTTTTCTTGACCTCAAACTTCCACCAGGGGGCAAAATTTTATTATTAATGCACAGAAGGGGAAAGTTCGTTAGACTGAAAGGAGGTGGACCTACATGAAATGTTGCCTTTTACCCATACAAAATGTTATCATTCTGTGTTTTGTGTGTATATAGTATAACAAAATATATTCATACTGTCAAACTGGTTTTTCAGTGACTGTATTTGAGCGCTGGACTTAACGGACGCATAAATGAATGCACGTGCTTAACTTTGGTTATTATTTCACAGGTCTATTCAGGGCTGTGTTTCCCAAAAGCATAGTAAGCCTATTGTTGATAGCGGTTCATACATCATTCTACTTATGCTTACTATGCTTTTGGGAATCACAGCTCAGGTGGTTTTCAGAACTGGACCGTGAAGCTGGAATGTGTGCTGTAGATTAATGTGAGATGGTACATAAATTCTGGATTAATCAATGCTCAGGACCATTTTGCTTAAATTTAATCAATTCACACAGTTATATAACTATCGTTCAACCAAATCTGTGCATATGTAAATATTTAAAGACTACCACTTGTTATTTTTATTGGTTTTGCATTAAAAAAAAAAAAAAATCAAGACACCTAGTCAGACCTCGCATTTATCTCACACTCATGAATGTGCAACAAACTATGTTCTTGTTTATTAAATTGTATCATGAGTTCCACTGCTCTGTGAATATAACTGTTTAATGCCAAAGTTTAATTGATTTCAGTTTGGATATTTTCACATTTTTGTTGACATTAACAGCAAGCTTGATCATCTTTATGTGAAGGGCTGTACACAAAAAAAGCTGTGAAATAAACATCCGTTTTTATGAGTTACAAACTTTTATTTCTACTTTGACATTGACATAAAATACATGTGAATATTTCATTTAGCACAGAATGTGTTCACAACCTTGTTTGCACATTTATTCAGTGAGACGACGAAGTAATAAAATACGTGACTTGATATCTTTCGTGTCAAGTTTTGGAAGGGAATCAAGGGTCAAAGATTTCTTGAAGGAACAGTTCTATCCTCTGTGCCTACAATGGTGTTTAGTCACCCGGTAACCTGATGCCGTGACTTCAGTGCAATGTGTGACCTTTTGGGGTATCGGAGGCTTGGGGCACGCTTTTAAAGATCACTGCAAAACGCCATATACTTGTCTGCTAACTGACAAGAAAGGCAAGCATTTTTTTGAACCCTTTAGGAAGCAGAGGTGTAAAATGCCATACTCTCCAAGATTAACATGTTTACTCATTTTAAGTTCATAGAATGTGTATGATCAAAGTCACAAAATTACCACATACAACATCAAACACAGTGAAATTAAGTGAATAAACAAACGCAAGTGTCTTTGAACATTTCTTACCTACATAAATGCTCTGCTTAGTTCGTAGACGTCTACACAGACTAACTCCTCACTGAGAACAAGCAAAACCTCACATTTAACTAAACTTGAAACTCAAACTTTTCTAAATTTCTGCTCTGCAATCACCTGCACCGTTCGTCCAGTCTCCCCACATTTCTTATCACACATAAATCCACATACGTGCACCGTCAAGTCATTCCACTCAAAAGTGACACCCATAAAAGAGCCAAATGCAATCTTCAGTAGCTACTGTATGCATATATAGAGAGAAACTCACAAAATAGACACATTTTGGCAAGTATGAATCAATGAGCTGAGCCACATTCCAATGGCCAATCATGTATGAGGTGCACAGTGACGTCATTCAGCTAAAACACACATTGCTTATTCAAACTTATTTTTGGTTGCAAATAAACCACTGCAGTTTTTATACTGGCAATCTGAATGATAAACTACTGTATACGTCAAGCAAAATCTCAACTCCTAAATTTGAAAACACTAACTCTCACTCTAATACCACAAACACCAGATCTGATTGCATGTAAATATTTTTTTGGAATTCCTCAAGGCACTGGGGGAAGAGGAAGAAGGTAAAGTCTTAAGGCTTTGTAGAAGAAACAGATGGAGGGGAAATTCAACTGGCATAGAACTTAGAACCAGAGGGACAACAGGAATAATCCCACACACAGAAACGCACTGGGCTCTTGAATCCCAACAGCCAGGCAAATCACAGCACTGAAGAAGGTCGCGGAGACCATCAGACACGTGTCCAGAGAACCCTCAGTCGGATCCTTTGATATCTGAGATAGTTCAGTGCCGGGTCTTGGCAGTGTGTGCTGGGTTTCAGGGTTTTTACATATCTGATATGGAGCAGTAGACGTTTCATCACCCTTAAAAGTGATATCTTCTGCTGAAGAGTTAACGGTTGAAGACTGAAGATCGAAGGCTGTTGGTGATGTTTCAGAAATGCTGGTCAGCTCTGGCTTTTCTGGTTTGCTTGTTGGATGCTCTGGAATACACATTGTAATAGTTTGGTTATCAAGTTTTGGATCCTCAGGGTGGACTGAGGCCAACATGCTCGGATCCAAGACAAGTTCTTCCTCTTGCTGATGTTTCATGTTTGCCGGCTTATCAGAGTCTGGATGGATGAGTAAACTTTGGGATTCTTTGTCCGGTCTTGTGGAACCTAAATGAGATGGGAACAAACAGGAAGCCTCCAAACCATCTGTTTCCTCATCATCCATCTTGGTACTTTCCACCTCAATCGTCTTGATGGTATCGACTCGGACCGAAGAGACAAGTTCTACTTTGTGTTCTTGAATTCCTTCCTCCAGGGGGTGCTGTAATCCCTCTGATAAATTGAGCTTCTCCACATCTTTAGTTGCATTGTTTACCTCCTTTGATGAAGGAGGCTGCTTGGCTTCTTCCAACATGTGAAAGCAAGTCCCTGTTTTATCTTCTTCTACATTCCTACTTGGTTCTTCTAGCACATCTGCCAATGTGGCATCCTTTTCTACAACATCTTCCTTCACCTTAACATTCTTCATACCTTCTTCCAGGATGTGTGGCATGTCTGGAAACCCAGCCAGTGATGGTTGGCTTAACTCGAAAGGCACTTGTGCTAACATCTCAGTGTGGAAATCATCCTTCTGTGAATGAAGGAATTGGTCAGGTTTACTGGAATCCTCAAATTCATCCTTGGTTGTTTCTGGGTGATCATAATGGTGTATGAGGACTGCAGGAAGGGGAAGGGCCAAGGAAGGGCCAACATTATAGACTTGATCTTGTGGCTCAGAGAACTGCTGTGTTGAACGTGACTGGGGGATAGATAGAGTTAATGGCTGAAGTCCAGACTCTTCTGTTTGTGGTAAATTATTGGATGACATTGACTCAAGTGCAAGTTGTTCTCCGAGGGGAGTATCTGAAGTGGACTGAGGACATCCTGCTGTGGAGGAAGTCCTGGTGGACTCTGGAGAACTGGACAATTTCTTGGCAGTCTGCAACAGAGAGAGAAAAGTAAGAGAAAAAAAGCTTGGATTCTAAAGAATCAAGAATGTATACTGTAGGCAGTAAACACTTTGTTTTGCATTTATGAATCTGAATTACTACCAACTAACAAAAAGTGTAAGATGAATGGCACAAACTTGAAATTCAATATGCATTGCTGTAATCATTTCTTGATTGCAACTAGTTGGAGAATCAAGAGAAATTGGATTTGCTAATGCATATTATTATTATTGACACCAGCACTGATTATGAGTACAAATTATCTACTGATATTAGTATAAAAGTTTTCTATTAATGTTTAATACATGCTGTTTTCTAGACAGTATCAGCTTATCAACACTAATAATTGTAGGTTAAAAAGATCATTTAACAAAGAAAAAATGAATACGAATATGAAGACATATACAATTTCACAGAATTAAAAAGAAAAGTAAATACATAAGCAAATAAATAAATAGTTGAACTACCTATAATGCCTTCATGTGAGCATGAAGTTTGTGCCAGTTCTTTCTGGCTCTTTTCCCAGAAGCCTGTGCCAATGAGATTAAGCTAATGGAAACAAAACCTTTAAAAGTTCTGAATGTGATGTGACACGATCTTGTGACAAATTTACACAAGAATTAAAAGCAACGATGAGAAAAGTGATGTTGAAAAGGTTTGGGGAATGCTGTTTAACTATGAATTTTGTCTGCTTAAAGTTGTGCAGGGTAAATCTCAGGGTAAACATACTGACAATATTTACATAGACTAAACACAGAAATACAATTTCTACTGCTATTTTTAACTGTTTTTATAAATATATATATATATATATATCTCCCAACCATTTTCTAAAAATTCACAGCAGTTTGTCTCAAGTTGTAAATATCAGGAACTGTCAACATAAAATAAGATCACACTAACTGTATATTGTTTGCTTATATAAACATAATATATAGCATACACTAAGCTTATCGTTTTTTTTTTTTAACTCCAAGCATGAACACGAATAGCTTCTGCAGGGTTGATCTTGATTGATATTATGGGTCATAATACAGGATGCATGTTTACATGCAACACGATGAATGGGTGACAAGTTAGCAAGTCACATGCACATTACCTAAGTTGATGCTGAAGCTTCAATGAGCTGTTCAGGTAGACAGATGAAAAGAATAATATCAACAAATACACATCTTGTTTTTAATATGATATATACTGGAGCATAGGTTAAATCATTGTTGGTTATTAACCAACAACTGTTCGACATCGTTTAGCTAATTTACAAAAAGCTGTGACATACTGTCAGCATGATAACTAATTTAAAAAAAAACTACATCGTTAAATATACTTTAAAATCATATTTTTATATATTTAAAGGCTTAATAGTTCAAGGGACAGTTCACCCAAAAATGAAAATTCTGTCTTCATTTACTCACCATCGTGTCGGTCCAAACCGTATGACTTTCTTCTGTAGAACATTTTAAGATTTTTTTCTTTACCTATTGAATGGAATTCATTGGTATTGCTTGTTTACCAAACTGTTTGGTTACCAGCATTCTTCAGAATATAGAAAGTCATACAGGCTTGGAACAAAAATGATAACAGAATTTCCATTTCTGTGTGGTCTATCAGTCAAAGGCCTCAGGTAAATTAATAATAATAATAATAATAATAATAATAATAATGTGTCTTATCAATTTATTGTAAAGGGCTGACTACAGACCAGAAACCCAGATAGTGATACTATTGTTGTAAATACCAGGTTCAGTTACTTAAAACAGCTGCAAATTGACACACTGCAAATAGACAAGCAAGTGGTTATCTGGACAGTGAAATGTCGGTGGGAATTTTAACAAGCAAATTACGCAAGTATGCAGGTATGATGAAAATCCACATCATCAGAATTTTAGCTAGTATTAAATAGACAATAGGCAATCAATGAGTCAAGTTTTATTTTATATCTAGATTCTTGAGTTATCTTTAGCCTGGGCTGCTCTGAAAAACACTACAGCTCTGCATTTGTTGCAATAGTGACAGACAGGGTATAAGAATAAACTGAAACAAATGGAATCGCTGATTAAAGAGAACGATCAGAAGACATCACTGATAGATAAATAACTGTATACCAACACAGACGGTAACAACATACAAAAATAAACTATAAGAGTGTCTAGACAGCATAGAGGTCAATGAGTTTTCTGACACAAAAAAAAACACGGAGGAAAAAAAAAAAAAGTTGCTGTTACACCGCACACAAAAACAGTCATGGAAATCTGGTAAAGGTTAGAGTAAGGAGGGGAAAACAAACTTTTGTTTAAACTTTAAACTTTTTTTTTGTATGTTCACGATACGCTGTATTTTTTTCCACCTGCTATCCCAGCCACACTTAGAAATGGTGATTACAAAGCAAACCTCACTCACCTCGATGTCGATCTCTGGCTGAACTATAACCGGCTGTGCAAAAGACGCTTGGTTTTCCAATGCTTCACACTTAGGGTTGCTAAGATCTGCTGAAAAAATAACAGAGAAACCTGAAACATAAAACGACTAACCTGGCAAATGTTTCTTATATTTAACCTGAGATAAATAAGCTATTGGATGACATTATGAACACATACCATCTCCTCCGTCATTAGAGTCATCATAACCAATGTCAGCTCTAAAAAGAAGACACACACATACACACCAAAACAATCATTCTTCAGCAGCACACATCAATACAGAGCGTTAATAATTGAAAAGTAAAGAAAGAATCTGTATAACTAATCATTATTAATATAAGACTATTAGCTGCTCATGACAAAATATTACATATTAAAAGGGATAGTTCTGCCAAGAATGTTCACCCTCATGTCATTCCAAACCTGAATGATTTTCTTCAGTGGAACACAAAAGATTGAGAAATACAACTTCCATTCAATGGAAGTAATCAAAACTGGTTACCAACATTCTTCAATATATCTTCTTTTAAGTTCTGGAAAAAACTGAAAGTTATACAGGTTTGGAACAATATGAAGGGGAGTAAATAATGACAATTTTCATTTCTGGGTGAACTATTATAAAGTACAAGTATAATCCATCGGCCAGAGGTATACATGATCGTTTCATTAAATGGAAAATAACTGTGACCTCTGTGACATTTGTTACTATGGTAATATCTGACCGCCTCCAGAGCTTGAGACGCTTTTTTCAGAGCTGTGGGTGATACGGTCTAACCCACACTCACCCTTAAACTGCATGATAGATCCTATGATGGGATAAGGACCTGTCCATTTATTACACATGCGTTCTTGCATAAATCACCGAAAGGTTTTGATGAGCATGATAGTCAGATGCTCCAGTCATATGAATCTTTGCACAACCTTTTCCCTTTCATTAAGAAGTCGTTACATATTCCGAGTATTTTGTGCATGAAGCAGTTCGATTGGCATCCTGTTCTATGACCTTCTATTTGTAGCATGTTTGAGCAATGTAGTAGAAAGAAGACTTGACATTTGAGGAAAGGTTGCGAGCAAGACTTGCGAGTCTGTATGGAACTGTAGGTCGAAACTCGTCTTCTGATTTTTATCTCCTGACAAAACAGGAGTTCCATGACAATGTACATAAAAATGCCACTCATTCGCTTTTTTCTCAAACTTTCATTGTCGTTGGTGGAAAAGTGGAAATAATGGGTAAAACGAATATGTCTTCAGATGTACTGACGGAACCAGCGTAGGTTTGTGTCTGCTTTTGTTGGTCTGTTGTGTCTCTTACTATATAAAAGGTCAGAGTTAAGGTCTCGGTACACCAGAGCTGAAAGTGACACCTGCCTTGTCCTATTTTCATCCTCCTCACACACCCTCGAGTGGCTGCCATTCTCAAAAGGGAGTGAGGGGGTGGGGAGACTGTGCAACCCCAAAACTCAAACAATACAGATGCTGTATAACAGACCCTGTATAATTTAAGATTCACATTCTATGGTTCTCCTTCTTTGGAAGCAGGAAATTTAAACATGTGACAATTGGTATTTCATGATTTCATACACAGCAAAGGCTGCATCTAAATATAAAAAAAAGGTGCATTGCACAGAAGCTGCATAAAATCAACTTACAGTTTCAGTAAAAATGTTACTAATTTTTGTTTTAAATATAAAACAATGAATGTAGAAACATCTAATTGTTAAAGGAAATCTAGAATGATAAATTATACACTCTGACATGACAATGTTTTAAAGGGATAGTTTACTCAAAAATGAAAATTCTGTCATTACTCATTTCTCACCCTTGTGTCGTTCCAAACCCAAGACCTTTGTTCATCTTCAGAACACAAATTAAGATATTTTTGATGAAATCTGAGCTTTCTGACCCTTTATAGACAGCAACGCAACTGAAACATTCCCAGGCCCAGAAAGGTAGTAAGGACATTGTTAAAATAGTTCATGTGACATCAGTGGTTCAAGCGCAATTTTACAAAGCTACAAGAATACTTTGTGTGCAAAGAAAACAAAAATAACTTTATTCAACGATTTCTTCTCTTCCAGGTAGGGATGTCAAGAGAACCGATACTACGGTACCAAGTCGGTATAAACATTTTTAAATCCTGCCGGCACTTGTTTTTCTTCAGTAGTGTAAGTACCGATGGTACCGAAGGTAGCGACTGGCAAGACTGCAATTCTTCCGGAACTGACGGGGGCCGGTGTCGTGCCGAATTCTGCACCCTGCCAGATTATGCATCCCCTAGTATTGGTAGGTTTAGGAATAGGTGTGGGGGAGGGGTTAGGATTAGGGGTGGGGTTGAGATTAGGCAATCAGGTAGGGATGCATAATCTGGCAGGGGTGCAGAATTCGGCACAACACCAGCAGAGCATACGCCTAGAAATGTTTGTTTCAGTCAGTCCTCAAAGGGTAAAGAAAAAGAAAAAAATGCCCACAAGCACACAGAAGAACTTAACGTGGAAGATGGCGACGATATAGGAATATGATTGTGTGAGATTTAAATGAGAGCGCGCAGCTCTGAAAGCACGAGAGCTGCACACAGTGGCGGCTCCAGGATTTTTTTGTTGGGGTGCTAAGAGGGGGCTTAACAGTTCAGAGGGGGTGCTAAAAAACTAATTAAATTGAGAGAAAGTAATGGATGCCTAAGCTTCAGCTAAGCATGCAAATTCAGCCACCTTGTGTTTTTTTTATATACAGCAGCTTCGAAAAAGGCATATTTTACATGTTTTCTGTGGTATTAAACTTCTCATATGCCAGTTATTACACTGAACAAAATTATAAACGCAACACTTTTGTTTTTGCCCCCATTTTTCATGAGCTGAACTCAAAGATCTAAGACTTTTTCTATGTACACAAAAGGCCTATTTCTCTCAAATATTGTTCACAAATCTGTCTAAATCTGTGTTAGTGAGCACTTCTCCTTTGCCGAGATAATCCATCCACCTCACAGGTGTGGCATATCAAGACGCTGATTAGACAGCATGATTATTGCACAGGTGTGCCTTAGGCTGACCACAATAAAAGGCCACTCTAAAATGTGCAGTTCCCTTTCGATACTTCACTCGTACTGCGTCTTGCTTAAGACGCATATGG